GATGGGCATCTCCTCCCAGGCAATTAAAGTGCCTCTGAAAATCCACTGGAGGGTCAGCTATGAGTCAGTTCTGACTCAACGACACACAACAGGAACAACTTTTCAAGTGAAAGTTGGACAATGAATAACTGAAACCATAAGTAAAGAAGTGATTCTTTTAAATTATAATGTTGTGGAGACTATTGGAAAATGCATCCATAGGGTTCAGACGAGGCCGGGTGTTACTTGTCCAGTATCATAAACCCAGAAAGATGAGTTAATTCTTGAAGGAAACAATATTGAACGTGTGTCATATCCAGTTGCTTTACTTCAGTCAGCCAGGACAGTTGAAAACCTGGGCTGCCAGGAGAACAAACAAGTCTGTTCTGGAAGTACAGGCAGAGTGCTCCTTACGGGGCAGAGGGTGACACTTGTCTGGTGTACTTCAGGCATGCTCTTAGGGGGGGCCCATTTCCTGGAAAAGGAACTCTGTTTGGTAACATAGAGGGTCAGCTAAAAAGAGGAAGACTCTCAGCAAGATGAGTCAATACATGGTGGCAACCATGGGCTTAAACAAGTGAAGGACTGAGTAGGGTGCCTGACCAGCCAGTGTTTCTTCTCTTACATGAAGGGCCACTATGAGTCAGAACCAAACAGACAGCACCTAACAGCACACTGCCTCTGAGTCATGGTCAATGCAACGGCACACAATAATAACGACAAAGTAAATCTATACAGCAGCAGGCAAAAAAATGATCCCTCTTCACCTCGTTGCCATTGAGTCAGAAACAGCTCACAGCTGACCATCCCCTGGGTTTCCAAGAATGTAAATAAACAGCATGGGAGGAGACTGTACATCTGTCTTCTGCAGACCCTGGGGGATTCAGGCCACCACAGAGGTATGGCCTTTGGATTAAGAGTAATTCCCAACAGACCCAGCAGAGCTCACATCAGTAATTTCTTAACTGACTTGTGGTTTTTATTTTCTGCCAACAAAACTGTCAATATCCCTGAAAGGAGCTGCTTATCAGCCTAGATCCAGAAACTGGCCCATCATGTTCATATAACACAAGACAGAGAGATGAGGGTGAAGTCTCTCTCAGGGAGGAGTGATAGGGAATGGCAAAGGACACACTGACAAAGAAGATTAATCAGAACTGGCTTTGACAAGCACTGTGGCATTTGGACAAGAACAAACTGGGAGGAGGGTAGAGAGAATGGTGCAGCGGTGAATGAATGGAAACCCAAAATCTCTGTAAATGTTTATGAAAATTAATAAAATATAATTATAGAAAGAAAAAAAACCATGTTAATTGAATAGTGTTAAAAGTTTAAAAAAAAAAAAAAAGACAGAGAGATGAATCATTAAGTTATAGGCCCCTGGATGTTGGAACCATGTTCTGTCGCAGCACAACTAAGTTGACTACACAGTGGTAGAATGTGGGTCTACGTTAGATTTTTAGAAAGTGTACTTTCTACCACATTCACCCCGATGTTCAAAATAAATTACTGTATTTATTCTCATGCCCATGTCTTTTCTTATCCTATTCCTATTCCTGGAATTCTGTTGAAATCCTACCCATCTTCTCAAGGTCAGCTTGGGATGTAACTCATCTGTGGCTCTTTCTTGGTCTGTGGTAGTACCAAGCACATGATGAGCATTTCATTAATTATGTGCCAGATACTACTCTAAGTACACTCTTTGTTTCCATTCATTGTGTCTTCATTCTGTGATATAAATCCTGTTATCATTACCATATAAGGTAAAGAGAGATACACTTACTTATCCAGGATCATACATTTGACACTAAAAGGAATTTCAACTTAGGTGAGCCTCGAAAACATATGCTAAGTGAAAGAATACAGGCCCAGAAGGCTGTATATTGTGTGAATCCATACGTGAAATGTCTAGAACAAACAAGCTAGTGACTGAAGGGAAATTAGAACTGACTTGTCAGTGGGTATAGGACTTCTTTATGAGGTTATAGTCAGAGTTTATAGTTTTGCAGCTCTGAATATACTGTTATTGTTGTTCTGTGCCATCTATTTGACTATGGCTCATATAGAGACCCTATGAGTTCCAAATCCCTGCCCTATTATCTTGAGTTAATTTCATCGTCTCTGATACACCTAAGTCATCCTCTCCTGCACTGACTCTCTATCCTTCCAAGCATGATGTCCTTCTAGAACCCAGTAAATTGTGTGCCATGGAGTCAGAACTGACCGATAGCAGACCCTCTGGCAGGTTTTCAGAGGCAGTAATCACATAAGAGGAGATTGCCCACCCCTCTACCACAGAACAGCTGACGGCCTTGAACTGCGAACCTTTGGGACTGCAGCTCAGCTTCTTGCCACTAGGCCGCCAGAGCTCCCTAAATTGTATGGTGTATCAGCAAGCTATTACTAAAATAAATAGTACAGAGAATTCCTAAATATCTGTCATGTTGTTGTTGTTGTTATGTGCTATCAAGTTCCCTGCGACTCATAGCGACCCTAAACCTTGCTCTATCCTGTGCCAATCCCACTGTCTCCGACACTCCTACTCCCATTACACAGTCACTAAATCAATCCATCTCATCAAGGGTCTTCCTCTCCTGTGCCGTCCCTCCACCCTCCCAAGCATGACGTCCCTCTCCAAGGACTGGTCCCTCCTTGCAATATGTCCAAAGTATGTCATGTAGTTTTCTCTAATATTAGCAAGTGGGAAATGACTAGCGAAATAGTGGAATAAGTAACTATTCTATGGAATATTAAAAATGCAAAATATATAACATTATTGGGTTAAGGAACTCTGATATGTAGTCTGCAAGGACTTGTACTGTTAACCCAAAGGCTACACTTCTCTGCTGGTTCACGTCCACCAACTGTTCTGTGGGAGGAAGGTAAGCAATCACCTCCTGTGCGGTTTACAGCTCCTGAAATCTGTTGAAGGATCAGCCATGAGTCCGTTCTGACTCGACAACAATGAGTTATCTGGTTGGATGTTTTTAAAAATAGTATGGGGAGGTTGTTGATGTTAAAAATTTAGGGAATGGCAAAGGACACACCGACAAAGGAGATTAATCAGAACTGACTTTGACAAGCACTGTGGCAATTGGACAATTAAAACAGACATTCGGATGGCGGGGAAGAAGAACAAACTGGGGAGGAGGGTGGAGAGAATGGTGCGGCAATGAAGGAGTAAAAGCCCAGAATCCCTGTGAATGTTCATTGAAACTAATAAAATTTAATAATAATTAAAAAAATTTATTTAAAAGAAATGAAAAGCCATACACATACATTAAAGAATTACACGTGTGCATGTAAATTTAATATTGGTTGTTCAGTGGTAGAATTGAGAGAGGACAATGAGTTCATTCCATTTGCTTTTATACTCCATTTAGTTTAATTTGGTATAAAAGTGCATGTTAATTTTTGTAATTTCCAAAAGTTTAAAAATGTATGAGAAATACAAATTCAGTCCTGGATTTTCCTCTTGCTGCACAAAGATCTAATTGTAATCAGCAAGATAATTTAAAATCACATATTCAGGGGTCTGAAGGTTTTTGTTGGAGAGATGGATGGAGCAGAAAGTCCTGGGGGAAGGAGAGGGGAATAGAAGTGGTGGTAGGACAAAGGCCTCTGGCTTGGACTGAGCTGCATTTGAAATCTAAGCTCTCTGTCATCTATTGGTCCACAGGACCAATTTGGTCAGTTACTTTTCATGTTGTTATTAGGTGCTATCAACTCATAACAACCCTGTGCACGACAGATTGAAACCCTACACCATCCTCACAATATCCATTGTGCTTACAAGTTCATCGTTGCACTCAGTGTGTCAGTCCATCTCCTTGAGGGGCTTCCTCTCCTTTTCTGAGGGCTCTTCCCTACTGACAACATGCCCAAAATATGTGAGACAAACTGTCACCATCCTCACTTCTGTTGAGCACCCTGGCAACACTTCGTCCATGACAACGACCTTCATTTCTTTGTCTTTATAATACAAGTGATTGCACGACTCCTTCCACTGGGCTGTTGGAGAATAAGTGTGAGCTATTACATTCAAAATGCTTAGGGCAATGCCTAGTTCAACAGTACTTAGCACGCTGCTGTTGTGTACTATCCAGCTGGGACTAACTCATAATTGACCCTTCAGCCGTTTTCAGAGGAAGTAAATCACACATAAGGAGATTGTCCATCTTTCTCCTATGGAACAGCTGGTGGATTCAAACCAGGTACATTTGGGTTGGCAGCGCAATTCCTTACCATGAAGCCACCAGAGCTCTGACGCACTACTTAGCATAGTGTTTGGTAAATGACAGCCATTATTATTATTTACAGTGGACATTTCCCAGTTGTCTGAGAAGTGGGAAATGATGGGTATAAAAATCTAGAGTGTTTGTGAAAAACAATATATTCAAACTTTGTAAATGATAATTTTTAAAAAGGCTTTGTACACATTAAAAAAATCTACGGGAATGGGACCTCATCTCTGCTAGGCCTACAGTACATTCCAACATCTAGACTGATGTGTTCCTCAGTCACCAAACTAAGAATCGTTTTTCTTTTTGGCATTATTATTGCTAGCTAAAGGCCGCATTTCCAGCCTCCCTTGCAGCTAGGGACAATAAAAGTGTTGAGTAGAATTTTCCTTTGGAAAAGTGTCCCTTTACTCTTTCCCTTCCTGCTGTCTGGTTCCTATAGTTCTGACTAGAACTCTAGCACTCAAACTTTTCAGGAAGGAAGCCAATGCCACCCAACAGTAGAGCAGAAACATAGCAACTGGAGTCCCTGGTGATTTTCAATGCCAGCCCCAGCCCACTCTCCTCTAGACTTCTTTTATGAGAGAGAAAAAGAAATCTCTGTCTTGTTTAGCCCCTTTTCTGAGTTTGGTGTAACATGAAGACAAACCAGTTGTAACTGATAGAGTTCACAGCACAGACTTAATCTAAAAAGCAAAAGCTCTGTCCTAGAGAGTAGTGAAGTGTGGAAGCTGGATAAGGGGAACCTGGATTCTCCTGGGTGAGCCTAGAGGCACTTACTCATCGCCAATGTAGAGCTTGGGCCAGACCTCATTGACGTGGGTGTACTGGGGACTGCCCTTCCAGAAGAGACGCTCCAGCTCAAAGGCTCCAGGGGTACAGTAGTCCTCTGCCTCCCCCTCCTCCTCGTTGAGCGATGACCTCTTGGCAGATGGGTAGGCATTTTTGAGGCTGGTCTTTGGTTCTCTGGATGTCATCTTAGAGCCAAAGGATTTTCTTTCCTTTCTGCAGCTGGTCATGAGAGAGGGTCGGGATTTGGGTTAGCAGGGGACATAAAGGTGGGAATAAGTTAGTCTCAAAATTTGGCCAGCATTTCCCTAGCCTACTGTGCTCCTCTTTTATCTTTCTATCCTGCACAAGGAGACGGGACAGCTAAACTTCCCAACATTCCAGTCTCTTCCAGAGCAAACAGCAGAAAGAGTAAGGGAGCCTCTGAGACAGGTCAAGGAGGATAGTTGGTAGACCTAAAACACCCCTGAGAAGTCTTTGATGCAACCCTCTTTCATCACCTTCCTTCTAGATTTTTACCTGCTTTGGCTCCAATTCTGTCCTTTAGCTGCCTGTAATTTAACTTGTTTAGGCCATTTAGAATAAAACTAGGAATGTCCAGAAGCTTGCAGGCATTCCAGTCCTTTGGCACAATGAACACCTGTGAGAAGCAACCAGCCAGCAGAATGGCACACCTCTGAAGCCAGAGTCTGAGCAGCCGCCCTTGCCCTCAGGCCTGCAGAAGGCATGGGAGGAGGGAAGGATGGGACAGAGGGTTAGTTAACTTGATAGGACAGTTGAAGTCAGTGAGCTAGGAAGCTGTGTTTGCAGAATGACATGGTATTTGGAGAGCTTGACAGACTTTGCTAGTGGAGTTTTCCGGTGGAAAGAGTCCCCAAAGAAATTAATCTACTGTGGGATTAGGCAGTATGTGTTCCTTGTGCTGAGCAAATGGTCAACTCACAATCCTGCAGCCTGGGACAGAAAGCTGCACTTCCCTCTGAGACTGGAGGGAAGGTGGAGGGCGGAATGACTGACAGACAGGCAGGTGAGTGACAAGGGCAAAAATTATTTAACAGATACTCTTAAAGCTTAACTTTTGTGCTAAGCATGCTTTCAAATGCTTTATAATTATTAATTGTTTAATCTTCTTAACACTCTATGAGATAAGCATGAAGAAAATAGTAAATTGAGGCTGTGGCACATGGCCTTAATCTTCTGAGAGAAAAGAACTACTTAGAGCAAGGGAGATGAGGATGCCCTGTGAGAAATATGAGAGTGTCATTTAACAACTGGTACTTTCAAAGCTTTTTAAAATCAAAACCCAAAGTCACTGCCCTAGAGTTGATTCTGGTTCCCTTACAGCTTCAGAAACCTCCATTGGTATGCTGAGGCTGTTAATATTCATGAGAGGAGACTGTCCCCTTCTTTCTCCCAACGAGTGCTATTGTGGTTAAGTGCCAACAAGTGTAACTCACAGCGATGCTATGAACATCAGAACTGAATGCTGTCCTATCTTGCGCCATCCTCATCGTCACTCACACACTTGAATCTTTTGCTGCAGTCACTGTGTTGATCTATCTCGTTAAGGGTCTTCCTCGCTAGTGGCTTTTTTCAAACCTCCAATCTTTCAATCAGTAGCCCAACACATTATGCACTGTGCCACCAGGAATCCTTTCAAAGATGATTCTACAACTTGAAGAAATTCTTACTTGTAAAAAAAAAAAAAAAAGAAAAAAGGAAGGACAGAAATTTTAACATTAACAATAAAAATAACTGCAATGGATTGTAGTAATGAGTACTACCTACCAAACATTCAAATCATGCGATAATACTTAAAGCAAAATCAGACTGTTCTTTAGTACAAGATCATGCCAAGTAACCAAGTCATCATGAAGACAGATAAATAAAGTGAACTATCACCACCACCACCAATCTGATGAAAAGACAGAGGACAGAACAGAGAATTAGAGAGGGATGAGAAACTTTTCACCTCCAAGAAAGAAGAGGACTTGGGATCCCTTCATTGGTAATCTTCTAGACCTTGAAGAAAACTGATGCCAAGTCACTTGGGAGTCTTCAAGCAAAGCTGAGTTGTTGAAAGCAGGCAAGAACCTTTCCTCAAGGAGAAAGCCTTTCCCTAGAGCTAATGCCCATATATACTTGTTATCTTCTGAACTGACAATAAATGTGTGGTACTTAAAGTAAAAATAATTAATAATAAAAATGGTATTTGCAATGAATAAATTATTGATTGTACAAAATTCTGTCATTCTAGCTCCAGTTTCATTTCTGTCACAAAATCTATGTTTTCTTACTACTGATCCTTCTTCCTTGTTCCAACTTTTGCATTCCCATGACATATTATTATTAATGCATCTTAGCTGCATGTTTAATCAACATCCAACAGTAAAAGTTGTTAAAAACCTTCTAATTCTCCTCTTTGGCTTTGGTGTTGGTGAATATATCCATCCTGTTGCTCTCAACATTTCAAGATGTATCTAGAAATGATCTTTTTAACTGAGTGTGACTGCTTTTCCTCCCCTTTCCATTTCTAGTGTGGTAGATCATGTGATGAGCTGACTAAAAATCTCCCATGTTAATCCAGCTCATTTTTGCTAACACTAGTATGTCATTATTTATGCATTCGAGGAAAT